TATGTGATCTATCTCTATAGATCTTCACTCCTAGAATATAAGCTACTCTACCATGTCATACATGGAGAAATTATTAAATACTCAATCATTTATAGTTTGCAACATGATAATATTATAGCCAAAAAGTAGTTTTTTATCTTCATATAGAATAACCAAGACTACTAAGCTCCTACTAACCTTTTGCATACACAAAGTTCATCTTTGTTTTTATGAAAAAGTCAAACCCATTGATTATTTCATCAAAACATTGATTTTAATTCCTAGAGGTATGTTCGAGTCCATAAATAAACCTTTGTAATTTACAAATCTTATTTGCATGTTTTTTGGTGATAGAACTATTAGGGTGTGTCCTCTATACATCCTTATTAAATTTTCCACAAAGAAAGATAGTTTTATCATCCATTTGTCATATCTAGGAGTCAATGTCTAATATTACCACTTCATAGGTATTAGTTTCATCATCCTCTTTAGGATACACATCATCATGTGTCGAGACAAGAAGATCATATCTTTTTAACTTTTAAAGAACTCATTTTAAACCTATGAAGTTCTTGTATACCAATTTGTGGGATAGTTACAATGCTTTGTAACCTATCTACTTAGGGTTCCACTAGTTGAGTGTTAATTTATGAATCTACTCCAATCTCATTGAGTTAAACTTTTCTCTCATTGTTTTTAGCATCTATAAATTCCTTCTCGAGGAATATAGCATGCTTAATCATAAACAATTTTTGTTCTAGTGGTAAAAAAATTAATATCCATTTGGTTTTTTTTTTTTGATATCCCATAAATTTGCACTTCATTGATTTGGGCTCTAGCTTGTCTTTGTTTAAACATTTGACATATACGTTATAGCTTCAAATATTAATGAAAGGCAAATTTATTCTCTTTCCTTTCCATATCTTATAAAAAGTCTAATTAACGGACTTTGTTAGAACCCTGTTCAAAATAAAGGTCGCGATAAGAAGTCCATATCTCAAAAGGAAATGAGGATATCATTTTAGCTCATCATGGATCGAACCATATCTAACATATGGTGTACTATTGATAGAGAATCTCATTCTCTTCTAAGTGATCTAAAATTCATTACTTAAGTATTCATCACCTCGATTTGATCAAAATGACTTAATATTTTAGCCGACTCGTTTCTTGACTTTAAATCTAAATTTCATGAACTATTCAAATGCTTTAGATTCGTGTCTCATTGACATAATCAAAACATGATCTCGCTATCAATAAAGGTTATGAAGTAATCATGTCCTCCTTTTACTTAGGTGGACATGAGCCTAAATACATCTTTATGTTTAAGGCCTAACAAATTAGTAGCTTTTTCTCTTTTTCTCATATTTACAAATTAGTAGTTTTTTTAAAAAAAAACTTAGTGTTAACTACGTATTTTAAACACATAGATTTTTATGATATGATAGAAGCCTTGGATAAAACATACATAAATAACATGCTTATTTTCCGGGAAAAAAAACAAGAGGAAGAAGCATACTTGCTTAGAAATGAGAAAACGAAATAATAATAGGAGAGGCGGATGTTATTTTGAGGTTCACATTCGCCGACCTTGTTCTTCCTCTATCTCTCGATTTTCCTCTTTTTTGTATTTCTTTTGCTTGTTGCTTCTCTCTTTTCTTCTTTTTTGCTTTTTGTATCATTTGCTCACCAAAGCACAATAAAGCCGTCTTTAAAAGTGTTATATTTTCTCTATTTTATACTCTTCCTTTTTTCTTCTCTATGTTTCTCCCTTTTATGGTCAAAACTTTTTTTTTTCCTTTATAGAGCCTTAAGAAAGACTAAAAGTTTTGACATTTGGCTTGGTTTCATTCCTAGGATGTGTAAAATTGATCCCAATCATCATGTTCTCTCCTAAACGAGGCTTGTACTCCATTTATAGCTAAGGAGATAACTCTCACAAGTTTGTTTGGGTGGTGACAATGGTAGTGTGTAATGGGTTAAGGGTTTTTATGTAGCTCTCACAAACAAGAGAAACAAAAGACATATTGTTTGTCTAATTTTAATGAGAAAAGAGTGAGAGAGAGACAAAAACTTGATTTCTTGTTGGCATCTTTGTAGAGAAGAAAGTGCTAGATAAGAACAAGGGAAAAAACAACTAAACAGTATTAGGCTAAAAAGATGTTTGTTGTTGTTGTTTTTTTTTTTTTCTCATTTCAACCTTGCGTGTTATTTTTTTCCAATTCCTTTCAAATGAAATGACATCATTTCATTTAACCAACATTTAAGTTGGTCCTTGCATTTATTCACTTTTTTGTAATCTAATCCTTGTCCTTTATTTTTGTTTCAATTGCACTCCTTAAATGGTTGTTCGGTATCATTTCTTTAATCCTCAACCTCTTTTAGATGGCTTAATTGTTTCCCTACATTTACTCTTTCTTTTTCTTATATTTTTCTTTTCTTTTCTTTTCGATTGTTTTTCTTTTGACTTTTTCTATGGTTTTCCTACTAGCTTTTTTTTTAATTTTTTTTTTAACGTTTATTTGATCAAATTTTTTTGTTCAATTTTCTTTTGAATTTCGTTTTTTCTTCTAATTTTCTTCTTGTCTTTATTTTTCTTTCAACCTTTTCATATATATTTTTTTCCTTTCAACTACTCTCCAAAATTATGAAAATTATCAAAGTACCTAAAAAATATGCAAAATCCATAGAAGTTATAAAACATGCAATTCTTGATTTTTTTTATTTAGAATTTTTTATATAAATAATTTTTAAAAATTCTTGATAAATTTATGACGGTCAAAATGGGTTATGACACCTCTAATGTCCCAAGTCTCTCTAATTGAATGTCCTTTTTCATTAATGCATTTAAAAGCTTCTTTAAACTCTTATGCCTTAATTTTTGCAACTTGACTTGTACACAAAAATTGGTTTAATGATGTTTTTTGCTTCGAATTATTGAGGTTTTAACATATTAAGATTTGTGTTATCAATTTGATAAATTTTGTATTTGAATCATCATATTTTGGCCAAATATTATCTCTTTGTTTGATTTAATAGTTTGTATTGATCATAAACTACTTTAAAAATTCATATTTTTATATTTTCAATTGAAATTTTTATTGATACGAATAAACATTTGATCTACTCTCACAAATACACTCGGAATCTTTTAAGGTCAAAAAGTTTTTTTTTCTACACAATAAAATTTTTATAAATTATGAAAAAAAAAATAAGATGAAATTATTTCAATTTTTTTTAGAAGCTCTAAGAAGTCATATTAAATGGGTAATTTTAGTGCAATCTTCAAAATCTTTTCATATATGGTTCCTACAATTAATAGTTTTTAAATTTGGTTTGGTGTTACACGTTTGACCAATCAAATATTTTGAGAATCATAGTTAGACTAAGCAAATAAATGATTTTTTAGGGTGTTAAAAAAAAATCAAATCTTTCAAGTTATTTCTAATTCTGAAATTTTGTTAATATTTAATGTTTAAGAAAAATTAAAAAAATTTCTTGACCTAAAAAAGTTTTGAAAATAATTTTGAAACTAGATAGAATTTTGTTAGCATGTGTGAAAAATTTTAGCTTAAAATACCAAAATTGATTTTTTAAAAAGAAATTTTTTTATCAACAATAAGGATCAAATTATATAGAAGGATAATATTTATCTAAAATATAATAATATTAGATTAAAATTAACCAACTTAATAGTATATGTTTTTTGGATTAAAAAATGTCACTAAAATTGCATAAATAGCAGGACAAGTGGGTTTTTGGGCTTTATCATCTTGCCCAAACAAAGCTCTTGAACCCCCCCTCCCTCCCTCCTCTCTCTCTCTCTCTCTCTCTCTCAACAATACACACACAAAAGAAAGAAGGAAAAAAAATAAGAAATTGTAAATTAGTCTTTTTATTTTAAATAAATTATTATTTTTTAAAAAAATTAATTATTTAGTTTCTTAATAAATTTTGATATTTTTAATTTAATATTATTTTATTTCAATAAATATTTGTCATTGATTCTTCATATTTTTTTAAATAAAACATGAAAAATAAACTAAAAAATTATATTAAAAAATTAAATATAAAGATTAGATAATTGATTTTTGAAATAACGGAATTAATTAATTCATTTTCTAAAACTAAATGAATTAATTTATATATATATAAAAAAGTGGAAAATAGGAGGATCCAACATCCAAGTGCAGAATGAAACAAAGCCACCACACACATAATATATCCTTCTCTCTCTCTCGCCAACCTTCCCTTAAATCAATGCCCTGTCGGAATCCGACTTCTTCCTCCTCTATCCAAAATTTCCTTTAATTTTAGGGTTTCGTTCAAAACCAGGAAAAAAAAAAAAAAAAAGTAAAAATCAGGTCTTTCGCTTCTCCCTCTACATCGATCGATTTGAATTTTATTTTCTCGATCTCTTTTCTTTTAATCGTTACTGTATGTTAAATGGATTGCCTTTTTTATTTCTCTGATCATTTTGGGTTGATAATTTATGTTTCAATGCCCCGATTTGGTTAGGAATCGCTAGAAATGTAGAAATGAAAACTTTTAGTTTTAGGGTAGCTACTCTGATCGTCAAGTAAAACTAGAAAACTAGGTTTGATTTCAGTTCTTTAGTTTTTTTTTTTTTTTTCTGGGTATTAGGGTTTTGGGTCAGAAAGAGGGATTTTTTTCAGTAACATTTTGGTTTCGGGGGCTATCTATTTTTTGTGGAAATTCTTATTTATTTGAAATAAAATTAGGGCCTTTTTTTTTTATTCCTGTTGAGGTAAGGTTCCAGGTGGCTGTAGCTGGATATTGACTCTTTGCTCATTAAGTTGCCTTTCATTTTAAGTAGAATTTAAGGGAACTGTTGTTTGGATTTTGAATTTAATTGCATTTAACCTGTTTGATTTTTAGTTGCTTTTCATAAAATCAATTGTGGTTTTCTGTTAGGATGTGAAATGAGAGATGATTTGTGTGTTGAAATTCAGCAGGTATTGGTATTGGGAATTTGGAATTAAGGTTTTGGAAATATGACGATGAATGAGCGGAAGACTATTGATCTCGAACAAGGGTGGGAGTTTATGCAGAAGGGCATTACTAAGCTGAAGAACATCCTAGAAGGGTTGCCTGAGCCACAGTTCAGCTCCGAGGACTACATGATGCTATACACGTAGACATTTCTATGCCATATTTTTTTCATGCTGTGTTTACATTTGTGAATTAGCTTACACTTTGAATTGGTTTGTTGTTGTTGTGTTAATGATAATGTTTTTATTTCCTTCACTTTGTTTGTAGAACCATTTACAACATGTGTACGCAGAAGCCCCCTCATGATTATTCCCAGCAGCTGTACGACAAGTACCGGGAGTCTTTTGAAGAATATATTACTTCAACGGTGAGGAACATATAAATAAGTTTGCAGAATTATGTCTGGTTCATAACTTATTCTCACCGAGAAGAAATATCAACTTGTTTCCATTGTCTCATCTTGACCAAGAAATTATGAGTTCAGTTTTTACTGAATTGACAAATATGTCCTTGCAATGGATGCTTATGCCTTCATGTCACATATCAAGGGGTTGAGAATTTCCTATTTATGGTTTTTAATGGATGTTTTTTAAGGAAACATTTATTTTTAAATGCTAGTTTAGTTTACATTATGGATAGCATCACCTATCACTGGAGTTGATAAATCTTGGTGAATGAATGGCGTCTTTCATGTCCTGTCATGCCAAATGACTTGGTTGGAGAACATAACTGCTTCTTGAAACCTAGCTGTTTTTCATGATCATGGAACTGAATAAATGCAGGTGAGGTAGTGGCTCAGAAACTGGGCATCTTAAATTCAATCCGCATGGTTACTTGTACATTTGGGTTGGGTGAGCTCATGCATTCATGGGGATTCAGTTTTGGATTGGATTCAAAGTGAGTGAGGTTGATGTAATACCCTTACTTTGACCAGGTCATCTCAACTTTCTATCCCTTTCCAATAAACACATATCATCATGCACTGCCATCTCATTGATACTTTGAACACAATGACCTTGTTGGCTCATTTCAAAAGGGATAGAGTGAAGTATGTTGGGAGAATGAGACATCTCCTTGTGCACATTTTGAACATTGTAATGATGCTTCCCTTCTATTAGTTCGCATTTCCTTCTGGTTCAAGTATAAGATTCTCCCATTTGAGCTTACTGAAATGTTGATGGAATCTTCATTTACAAGAACACAATACCCTTTTTAACCTCTGCTAACACGTTTATTTATTGTTTACTTCAACCCAATATGTGTAGATATGTTACAAATTGGTCTTATTTTTCATTTGTTTATATCAAAGATATAATGCTCTGCTGTGTTTTTGCTAATGAGTACCTCTCAATTTATTGCCAATTATCTGTTTTCTGATGCAGGTATTGCCATCCCTAAGGGAGAAGCATGATGAGTTTATGTTAAGAGAGCTAGTTAAAAGGTGGGCAAACCATAAAGTCATGGTTAGGTGGCTTTCTCGTTTCTTCCATTACCTTGACCGCTATTTCATTGCCCGGAGGTCACTTCCACCACTTAATGAAGTTGGCCTTACTTGTTTCCGCGATCTGGTATGTCATGGCTGATTCCCGCATGCATGTGCTATCTTCTGTTCTGTTTGTGTTCTGCATTTGCTGAAGGATTTTTCCCATCCGTTGCTTCTTGAACTATTTCCCAATTGAAAATCCATTTTATTCTGCTCCCTTTCAAGATGATACATCATAATGTAATGTTATGGCATTTGTCTTTGGATTTCAGGTTTACCAGGAGCTGAATGGGAAAGTGAGGGATGCTGTAATTTCTCTGGTAGGGTCATATTGTTTCTCATAAATGTATGGTTTGCTTTTCTTTAATTCATGTACAAGTTAGTTAACTTGATTGTCCTAAATCAGATTGATCAAGAGCGTGAAGGAGAGCAGATTGACCGAGCTTTATTGAAGAATGTTTTAGATATATTTGTTGAAATTGGCATGGGGCAGATGGATTACTATGAAAACGACTTTGAAGCAGCAATGCTTAAAGATACAGCTGCGTATTATTCTCGGAAGGCATCAAACTGGATCCTAGAGGATTCTTGTCCAGATTACATGTTAAAAGTAAGCAGTATATGTTTCTGTTAATGAGTCAAAATGAATTTTTGGTCCCATGAAATGATTTTTCATGCAAATAGTATCTAATGCATCTTGCTGGTGATTCCAGGCTGAGGAGTGTCTAAAAAGGGAGAAAGATAGGGTTTCTCATTACTTGCATTCCAGTAGTGAGCCAAAATTGCTGGAGGTTTGTAGCTGATTGTGTGGTGTAACTTTTGTTTATTGGTAGTTAGTTGCTTATTGGTGGATGCTATTGTCTCACAAAATATTAGAAAACATTGTAAAATGGGACATCCCAGATCAGGTGGTGCAAGCAACTGCATTACATGGTTTTAGGCCTAACATAAAGTGCTGCTCTTGTTTTTATTCTTTCTGTTATCCTATTGTTGTATCAGAAGCTGTGTGTTCTTCTCTGCAGAAAGTTCAACATGAGTTGTTGTCAGTATATGCCAACCAACTGCTTGAAAAAGAGCACTCTGGATGCCATGCATTGCTTAGAGATGACAAGGTATTTATCATATATTCATTAGTTAAGTGTGTGTGTGTGTTTGTTTTTTTTTTTTGGGCTCATTGCAAATTAACTAAAATTCACTGCTTCCCTGCTTAGGTGGAGGATTTATCAAGAATGTTCAGGCTCTTTTCTAAAATACCTCGAGGCTTAGATCCCGTTTCTGGTATATTTAAGCAGGTTGGTAAACTTGCATTAATATTTCTTTGGCCTTGGGCAATCTGAAATAAGCGTTTGTTGATTCCATGTTTTCTTCTTGTTGTTGTTTTTATTATTATTATTTTATCTGTTCTGAGATAGTTTCTGTTCCATAATGCAGCATGTCACTGCAGAAGGCACAGCGTTGGTCAAACAAGCTGAAGATGCAGCAAGCAACAAGAAGGTCTGTCATAGGATGACTATTCTTACGTTTGCATTTCATGTGATATGACTCCTGAGAAAATTCTTTTATCCTCTTATTTGCATTTTGTGGCCTCTCTCACCTAACAAAAAGTAGAGAGAAAAGCCCTTTTTTTTTTCTTCTCTTAATTCTACACAATTTTGGGCATGAGGTTATTTGGTTATGCACTGTTAAGTAAATCTTTGGTAAAGCTTGCATAAATCTCTTACACTAAAAGCATGGTGATTGTAGAGGAACTTTTAGATTTCATTTTGTGAGCAGTTTTCTCTATAATAATGGTGATGATGAGGATGGTAAGATTTACTATGTGTGCTGGTTATATGAAATGTGGTTGTCATTAATTTGTTGTCCTTTTTTGGCTTAACTTTGCTTTTAAATTGATTTTGAATCTCTGCTGTCCTGGCTTACTAATGATTATATGACCCTTTTCTGTTGCATTCATGAGTGAGAGAAAATTCAAGTTCCAAAAATTGGTGAAAACCTTATTTAATATCAGAATCCAATTCCATCATTTGTCCAACCCTGCCATCCGCTGGACCTAACTCATCAGCCCCCCAAGACAAATTGGTGCTTGCTTTTGCACCAGTTGTAGTTTGCTTAGAACACTTTAGCAACTGTATTAATTTTGAAGTATTTTATTCACTATTCATAGCAATTAGAAATATCATTCTTTAAAAGAAGAGCAAGGCTGGTCACATAACCTTACCAAGCTTGAGGATCTAAAGTTCTTGTGCTCAGTATCCTCAATTATGTACCCTAGTTATGGTTCCTTAGATACTTGTTGAATATCAGATTTATCCTGGCACATCATCCTTGGATGAGTGCTTACTAATCCTGAGTCTCTGCTGGTTCTTGCTGTCTTTACAATTTGAAAGTAACTGAAATGAATGACCTGTCAGAACAGTATTGATATCTCTGCCGTTGAATAGTCATGAAAGTAGCCCAGAGCTTATCATAGATAAATTGAAGCTGTTGTTGTCAGGAGTTGGGACCAACGTTAACTTTATGGATCCTTCCAGGGAGACATGTGCTTAAGACCTTTTTCTACCCCTTCTTACCCTGTAAAAGCAGGGTCACCATGCATCAAGTGTCTTTCACCAAACCACTGCCCTGCAAAGTATTTTTTGAGGATACGAGAGGAAGGCAGCTCTCTGTGCACCATAGATGAATTCTTCCTGGCTAAAAAACTAGCATCATCATTAAGGTTAATGAGATGGTCTGTACTCTTTCTTGAAAACAACACATATTATTTGACTTACAAATAGCATGAATTTGTTCAACCTGCCTATGTAAAAATGAGTGTTGATTAATACATCTATTTTTTAGTCCTTACTAGTTAGGGAGATAAAGGTCTTTATGAGTTGATTTTAGGATAAGAATTCAGTCAAAAACATGTGTTTTTGTCAGTATCAAAGTTGAGAATTTTCCAATATTTTTGAACAGCAGAGCTCTATTTTTGCAATAATAATTAGCTTTTCAAAAAATTGGTTGCATGCTGTATTACTCCCACCAACATGCATAATATTTGTGTGAATGCTCTTCTTTTTTCATGTAATTCTAATCCCAACTTTTTTATTTTTTTTAACAGGCAGATAAAAAAGACGTGGTTGGTTTGCAGGAACAGGTTAGTTTCCAATTCTAAATCCATATATATTTTGCCCTATTGTTGAAATGGGTGGAAGCTGATTTTGTTGGTCTTCAGGTTTTTGTCAGGAAGGTGATTGAGCTGCATGATAAATATCTGGCATATGTTAACGATTGTTTCCAGAACCACACTCTCTTCCACAAGGTTTGTGCAGATTATTTATTTCTGACATTCTAAGGTCATATCCTTCTAGGTGTTGTGTCTGAAACACGTTCTTCTCCAGGCCCTCAAGGAAGCTTTTGAGGTCTTTTGCAACAAGGGTGTCGCTGGAAGTTCGAGTGCTGAATTACTAGCAACTTTTTGTGATAACATTCTTAAGAAAGGTGGCAGTGAGAAACTGAGTGATGAGGCCATTGAGGAAACGCTGGAGAAGGTCCGTCGTGCTTCCATTGCATGGTTCTGTTGCTCATGTTGTTATGTAACTTCATAATTGAATTTACCATTGATTTGTAGGTGGTGAAGCTGCTTGCTTATATTAGCGACAAAGACTTGTTTGCTGAATTTTATAGGTGAGTAATGTCATCTTCTGATGAATAGATGCTTTAATTTAACATTATATGGATAAGTTTTTAACTAGAAGTGATTTTTTTTGGTTGAATGGTTTCTGGCAGGAAAAAGCTTGCTCGAAGGCTTCTTTTTGATAAGAGTGCCAATGACGACCATGAGAGAAGCATTTTGACAAAGCTGAAACAGCAATGTGGTGGGCAGTTCACCTCAAAGATGGAGGGAATGGTCTGTTGCCTTGAACCATCATTTTCTAATCAGAAGCTGAGATTGCTATGCACATTAAAGATTGGGATGCGAAGTGTAATTCTTTCTTGAACTTGATTTTGTCTTCTAGGTTACAGATTTGACATTAGCACGGGAAAACCAAACCAGTTTTGAGGAGTATCTAAGCAACAACCCAAATGCAAATCCAGGGATTGACTTGACGGTTACTGTTTTGACAACTGGCTTCTGGCCTAGTTACAAGTCTTTTGATTTGAACCTTCCAGCAGAGATGGTATGCTTATTAATTGATGATGTCTTGGTAAAAATGTGTCGGTTTTTTTTTTTTTTTTTGATGTGTGCTTTCCCAAGGTTAGCATCTTGGCAAAGTCACTAATGCAGACCTTTCTCTGCTTGCTGCTTCTTTAGGTCAAGTGTGTTGAAGTTTTCAGGGAATTTTATCAAATAAAAACGAAGCACAGGAAACTTACCTGGATATACTCTTTGGGTACTTGTAATCTTATTGGGAAATTTGAACCAAAAACCATGGAGTTGATTGTGACAACCTATCAGGTATTATGTTAATGAATTTAACTGCATATTTCCTTATTTACTCTGATTGGTGTGTATAAGTGCAGGTTGTACATACAGTTCTTATTTCTAATACTGATTTTCTTTTTCCTGTTTAATAGGCTTCTGCACTATTGCTTTTTAACTCCTCGGATAGATTGAGTTATTCAGAGATCATGACCCAATTGAACTTGACCGATGATGATGTTGTTAGACTGCTCCACTCTTTGTCATGCGCAAAGTATAAGATTCTAAACAAAGAGCCAAATACAAAGACAATATCTCCTACTGATCACTTCGAATTCAACTCCAAATTTACGGACAAAATGAGGAGGATCAAGGTGCTGAGAGCTTCTAATATGTCCTGTTACTGTTCTGTAGTGTGTGAAAGCTAATGAGCCTTCTTTGTTTAACTTGCAGATTCCTCTGCCTCCTGTAGATGAAAAGAAGAAAGTAATTGAAGATGTTGATAAGGATAGAAGGTATGCTATTGATGCCTCAATTGTGCGCATCATGAAGAGTCGCAAAGTTTTGGGTCACCAGCAATTGGTTATGGAGTGTGTTGAGCAGTTGGGCCGCATGTTCAAGGTTTATATTGCCATTTAGTTTATCCTTGATAATCTGTATTCCTTCTCTTTCCTTATTTCAACTCAACAGTTTAATTGAAATGTGGATTTGCAGCCTGATTTCAAGGCAATTAAAAAACGGATTGAAGATCTGATTACTCGAGACTATCTTGAAAGGGACAAAGAAAACCCCAATTTGTTCAGATACTTGGCATAAAGCTGCATGCTTGATCATCCATGAATAATGAAGTGGTGACTATTGTTGCTACAAATCACACCAAAGAGCAACCGTATACGGTTGGAGTAGCACAGGTGTGTATAAATGACACTAATGAGTGCCTCTTTGGTGATTGATCGGAAGCAGAGGCTGGAACACTTGTATATTTTGCCTCCAGAGCCAGGTATGAACAACTTATATAGATTGTGCACCCATGTTGGAGAATTGTAACTCTCTCCCTAACGAGGTCCAATGCGCCAATGGGACCATCGTTTATCTTTACCTTGTTACTTTTGAGTCCACCACATGACTTATTTGTTTGTTTGGTAATTGTGCTTTTGCTGTTCCACTGGAAGGGGAAAAAAATGTAATTTAGTTCTATTTACGTTACATCTTGTTTATCAGATCTAGAAACTATCAGGTGAAAGGTTTGTCTTTGAATGCGAACATCATTTCCTGTGTTATTTTATGCTTTTTTTAGTATCATCTGTAAGAGTAACTCTTGAGTTTCCATTATTTTGTGTGATTGTTTATTTTATGTAAGAGTAACCATCTGTGTTGGTTATCGAATATTATTAGATTGTTTATACTTTTATCGAACTTGGAACTGCTATAAATTAGGTCTTTTCATTGTTTCCAAAAAGTTCAGATCAATTTTTGTATCTAAACTCCAACCTTTTTCACGGAGCTAAAAGGTTTTGGAAAATGAGTATCTCTTTTTGCATTGTCCCAGCTATTTTATTGAAAATAGTTCAACTTATGAATCTTTTTTTTTTTTTTTTTTTTTTTTGTCTGGCATAACGTTTTCCCATCTGGTGGTATTGAATTAAAATCATCATGAAATGGTTTAATTTTTCCCTAGGTACACCAGAAATTCATTTCACTAGAGCAGCAAAACCATTTCGTGGGATGGAGTTAATTTGCATTCCAACTATTTCGTTGAAACGTGTTTTAATTCTTACAGTAATCTATCTATTCAAGCAGTCAATAGCACCGGCCTTCTCGTGTTAGGTATGTCATGACTGGTCCCCAGAGGACGCAGCACAATCCACATCCTTGATTTCATTACGGATTGTCATGATGATTGTTAAACAAAAAGAAAAACCAAGGATTTATTTGTTTGGCCTAATGTTGACAAACAATTTAAGCCTTTAAATTTGTAGTCAATTTTTGGATTGAACAAACATGAAATACCATGTTTTCATGAAACGTAAGAGCCTGACGATCCAATTAACCATTGCAGCTCCAGTGTGAATGGGTGAATCGATAGTTGGTGGGTAAATCCAGCGTATAGCTTTTCAGAGCTGTTGGGACTTGTAGTTGCTCTGGTTTAGATTTTTAACAGGAATTTATAGAGTTAATGGAATCTGAAGTTTTGTATCCTGCATGCTCTAATAGGAATTATGGAAGTTGTTATCAGTAAGATTCGATCCAATAAAGCGAATGGAAAGATTTGCGGTTTTGATGTCATGGTGAGAAATGAAATGACGTTTTCACTAGCTTGATTTGAAATGAAAAGACCAAATAAATCCCAGAAAAGTGGTTTGACTCACTGTGCTTGTCATTTTCTGACATTGGTTGGGATCATGAGAAGATTGTTCGGTCCTTTGTTGAAATCAAAGTTGCCAAAAGCGAGCGCGAAGAAGCTTGCTTGTTGGCTGTTGCTACTTACTCTTAAGCATTAAGCCGAGAGCCGGAGACTAACAGATGGTATGAAGCTGTAGCCTCGAGGCAGATGCCTCATGTCTCAGGCTTGAAATTATCTCAAGGAGAAAAAGATTTTTCTCAGATATAGTTCACTTTGTAGGACAAGAAAGTTCCGGGCGTCATCACACAGATTATGTGTTACAATGAGAGTCAATGAATGTGCTTGAAGCAACTAGCAAGCATAGACCTGGAAATTGGACAAAAAGCAGCCAATAGGGCCCAAAAATGGTTAAAGTGATGGGCAAAACCAACGGTTCTTTTTGCTTTCCCAAATCAGGAAGCAATTGCGTCCTTCCATGAAATGCCTGCCTGTCCCCTACTTTCTTCCTCTTGTCATTTAGTCTCTGAGTTCCAATCCCTCACAATTCTACTAATTATGTTATTTTAATTACATTGATTTGCAACTTGTGAATTTCCTTGTGCATTTTGGACCCCATTTTGCTGAGATCACTCTCCGCAAAATCGCCACTTGTAAAGAAAAGAGTATCTTGAAAGAGGGAGGGAGGGATGATTCCAACAATAGCAAATGGTGATATGCCAAAGACTTGCACGTTTGTTTGTCCATAGTGGGTTGTCAAACGTCATTATTGAAGGCTTCTTCTCTCTTTCTATCAAGAGATGATTTCTTCTGGCAAAGAAAACTTCTACATGGTCTTTCTTGCTCAAGTCTGAACTATGAATCTTTGTTGTTTAGTACATCCTCTCCGGTTGCATCCGATGTCATTGGACCTGGACCGGTTGGTTGCTCTTGCCTTTTCTGTTGCCCTGAAACAGAGGGCTCAATAAAATCAGCTTTCTATGACCATAAAAGTTTATTTTGCAACTTGTTCGAATTAGTGTTTGCTTGTCATTGCATGATAAGTCGAAGCAACTAGGATTTGAGTATGAAACTGAGAATAAAAGCTGACAAGGTTCATTGATGAGTGGCGTATTATGTTTTGAATTTATTTTTTCAGTATCAATCATAGTTTATAAGAATACTATGATATACTGATTTATTCCCATGCATGGGCTGGGGGATTGATGGAAGTGGCGATAATCGTTCCATCATTCATGGTCCAACTTGTGCTTTTTGTTAATATGGTCAATTTCTTACATTTCTTCTTTTTTTCCCCCCAACTAAATTGATTGCATCATCTTTTCTCTGCTAGCTATTCTTCTCGATTAAGTTCAAACAAGACATAATTTATTTCTAAAAGCTTGTAATATTCCATTTTGCTGATTGCACCAGCAATTTTCCAAGCTGTTTTCTTGCGAAATGGTCAAAGCAAATTTTTCATACAGAATTGGTTGCATCATCATTTCTTTGCTTGAATTGCTTTATGATTGAGTTCAACACGAGACATAATTCACTTCAAAAAGCTCATTTATAATGGGCTTAGGGGGAGCAATTTGTTGTTTAAATATTCTACTTTGCTGGTTGCATCATCATTTTCCTTCGAAATGCGGTTCTAAATTTGTTCAACTTTTTTTTTTTTCTTTTTTTGAAGTATGACTTGTGTTTTCTGCTAATTATTTTTGTTTTGTTGTTTTCCTTGTTTACCTCACATCTTATGTCATGCATGTTGGGGCTTCCTCTTGTGATCTGCTTCTTGTCATTTCAACTTAGAATCACCAGAAACCCATTACGAGTTGCTTGCTCAGTGCTTCCGTCAGACCAATAATATTAACAACTTAAACAGGATGCATTGCATGATACATGTGGATGTGGGCTCTCCTCTCTTCCACCACTAAGAAAATGCGTTCTTCTCCTTAAACAATTGAAGACCGATTATTTTGGTTGTCCTTTTTCTGTTTTGATTCTTGCAGAAGATATTGGGTGGCATTGTTATTGGGCTCTCCCCATATGATTGAAAGTTTCCTTCCCTATTAGGAATCTGAGACAGGGTATGGTAAAAGTGACATATCTTTCTGTTTTGATTCTTGTTTTCCATCCTACTTGCAGCTTCTCACACCACACATACTCCTAAGCAAACACATTGGACAAGAAATGCTTGGAAACAGAAGACCCACAACCTTGTATTAATTGATGAGCTAACACAAATGAGTTAAGTGTAAGAATAGCGCATCGCATCAATGATATATACGGTCCTTCGCCCATTTTGGCATGCTATCCAACTTGTGATTTGGCCTTACCATTCTAAATAGAAACACAAACGACATTTTAGACAATCTAATCATGGAGTACCCCAAGGTGGTGGGGGGCGGCTATGTGGGGCAGGTTTCTTGCTCTAAACTTTGGCAAATTCCAGGGTTTTCTTGCCCTGCAACTTGTTAGTGACATAGTGTTTACTGTACTCTCCATGATTGTATGTCCTATATTTGCTTGGGTTGTTCTCATCCACCAGTTCTGGAATTGGTCCGAGCTCCATTTCATAGCTAGGGGCATAAAATGTGACAATAGAGAGTCTGTCCTTTTCCTTGTTAGTCACTGCTCGGTGTTCAACACTCTTGTATTTTCCATTTGTTAAGACCTGTAGATGCAGAAAATTAGCGAATTGTATAACATCAATTCTGGGTAAGATGGAAAAAGAAAATTGAGTCCAGGTTTAATTTTCTTACTTCTAAAGTGTCGCCAATGTTGATGACAAATGCATTTGGAATAGGCTGAAGAGGCACCCATTTGTTGTCTTTAAGGATTTGGAGCCCTACTGAACTTCCCCTCCCTTGCTGCAACACTGTAAGGGCACTTCCATCTGAATGCGGGCTAAGACCTAAAACAAGATCCGGTCTTGCACATGTTGGGTAATAGTTCATCCTTATGGCTTGCACAGCCACTCCAAACATCTCTTCAAAAAAATCTGCTCTCAAGTTTAGTGTCATGGCTATATAATCCAGTAGATCCTGACACAGCTTCCTCACTTTTCCTGAATAGGCCTCCACAGTTTCACTACAAAAATCGCATGTGACGTAGTTTTAGTGAATTGGAGACTTGTCCGATTAAATTTCTTTAGGAAATCCTGTTACCTGAACTTTGGTGGCTTTGTTGGCCATAGTTTTGGGACCCTTATAAAGTAGGGCTCAAGCCCAAGTGCAAACATATTGCACCAGTCCAGCTTTTGGTCCTCAGAGAACACAAAGGCCTGTCCATATCCCTGAACAGTACCGGGCAACATTGGATACTTCTGCTTCTCCTTCAAAGGCAGCATGAAGAAATCCTTGGCCACCTTCTCTATGCTCTCCAGCAAACTCAGATCAATCCCGTGGTTAATCACCTGATAAAAAAAATAATAATTAAAGTTAGCTTTCATGTTCATGTTATCCCACACCAACAAATTAATAAAAAAAGGAAGAAAAAGGAAGGGAAAAGAAAAAAATCAACTTGTACCTGAAAAAATCCCCACTCCTCGCAAGCTCTTGCAAGCTGCAGCATTTCACTTTTGTATTCATCTTTATTGCCTTTGGCAAGCCTTGAGAAATCAATTATGGGAATGGTATCAGGAACTGGTGAAGCTGTGCCTAGCGTTGGTCTTTCTGTATTGTCCCTAACAAATCTTTCAGGAATTGTTGTTGGCTTAGCCTTTCTCAGTTCTTGAACATCATCAATATGGCCAACGTTAATTGGAGAAATCGGAAGAGGAGCCATAGAACACAGAATTTGGAAATTTGTCAAAAAATAAGTGAAAGTCGCTAAGGAAGTTTCACTTGGTAGCTTCAAGCTTAGACAACTCTGCATTTATAGAAGGAGAAACCGCAGTTTGCGCCTAGTGTGTAGTGGTCTACTATGCGTGGAACCATGTCATGTACTTTATAGTATAACCTCATACAGCACAGCTAAACTCTTATTAAAAATATAAATCAAATCTCTGGACATGCTATTGTAGAAGTCATTATTCATTCGGATTCAATTGCACTTGTCAACTTACTTTCAAGTGATATTTTTGTGATTCACAGCTTATCTTTGCATTTAGTATGCGAGTTTTTACCAAATATTACACTTTTGTCTTTCATATTTTAAAAAATTTCATTTTGATTATCAACTTTATTTGTATTATAATTTAATTAGTAGACATAGAGAAAAGAAAGACAAAAAAAAAAAAAAAAAAGAGAAGAAATGAGAGAGAAATCCACTAGGAGTGCTGATTTTGGTCACATTAATCACCATCGGTGCGTTTAAATTGTTTATTTTGAATAAAAGAATTTGTTTATAGTAGTTTCAAACCATAAAATGAATAAATAAGTGAGATCATATCTCAAAATATTTTAAATTTTTTAATTTAATTTGTTTTTTTATGTTTATTGAAATGTGTTTTAATGTTTCGAGTTTCTTTACTTCATTTTAATGATTTTAAAGTGTTTTGAAATAAAAATGATATTGAAACTCGAGCTTGTTGAAATTACAAGAGGACAGGGCGATGCATTGTCTATTTGATTTTTTTTTCAAGAAAAAAAAAAAAAAAGGCTGCGTTGGTCTGCCTCTTCAGACCCAAAAGCATAGGCCTGACTTGGTTTCTTTGCTTCTTTTTTTTTCCTAACAATTTATTTTTTTTTTATTATTGAATTTTGTGTGAACATTATAGAAAAAACCAATCCAATCGTTTTTCTTTTTTGGATTTCCAATATAGCCTAACGATTATAAAATATATATGATATATTTTTATATTTTAAAATAGTTATATATGTCAACTTATATTACTATTATTGTTTATAATTGATTTCTTCAATTTGTCTTCTTCTTTTTTTTTTTTATGAAAATTCACATCTAATTGATTTTTTCTTTTTCTTTTTTCTCTATGTATAGATCTTGGAATAAAATTTTAGAACATGATTATTATTTTTTTTTATAAATATATTAATATAATTTTCATGACGGATTCGATGATTTTTAAATAGAACGGCCTAATATATATATAAAAGCCGACGGTATATTTTAGATAGTTTGTCTCAAATTTTTTGAAAAAAATTAATTTTTAAATAATCAACTAAAAAAGTAATACGTATGTTTTATTTGTTTCTTCTTTATATAATAAAAATTTAACAAAATCAATTTTGTAATAGCTTTGATTTTAATTTACAAGTTAAGTATTTTTTTTTATTAATGTTTTTTATTTTATGCTTGCAACACACTCGAATCCACTAAGTATGGTCAATGATCTATTAAAAAAATTGAAATTAGTGATTTTATTGAAATTAACTATGCATCTAGTCATATAACACCAATCATTTTGCTTCTTTTTTAAAAAAAATATTCTAAATTTAATTTCTTTCCAATACAATAATTCAAATAATAATTTAATACTAATATTATTGATTATTTTGTGAATATATATATATATATATATATATCAAATGTACATATTTTAAAAATAATATTTTCATCAACATTCAATAAGAATAAAATTATTTTTTCATTTGTTGATTTTTATACAAATTTTAAGATTTACTAATGCTTTATTTTTTCGATACGATCCGATGAAAAAAGAAGTTAAGATATTTTTTAAAATTTAAAATAAAATTTTTGTTTAAATTGTTGTAAGTTTTTATTTAAAAATCAATGCATAAAGAAGAAAAATCATATTTTGTTTAAGTAGAAAATTAATGGAAAACATGAGAAAGAATTAATTATATACTCAATTAAAAAATTGAATGATTTTTTTTTTACATTTAATTTAATATATTTTAGTAAACATATAATATTGTATGAATTATTGAATTTGAATGATTTTTTCCTATTATGCTTTACTTGCAGCATAATACAAATAACAAACTAGTGCAAATCAAAAGTCTATGCCTTGTTCCGGCAAGAACTAAAGTATATTCTTCAAAAGAATAAAAAAATAAAAATAAAAATAGAAGAGCTAAGAATTAAAAATACCCCGCAATTAAAACCTAAAAAAAACCACAACTACTGTTTAAATATAAGAATGAATATTATTTTAATCTAAAAATCTAAATTAATGAGTTATAAATCTATTTTATATAAAAAAACCTCAAAAATTTTTATTTTTAATTAATGTGATATTACGTGTAGAACTCAACAGTATAATAATTAAATCTAGAAGCAAAATATTTGTAATGTTCTTCCAAAATTCTCTAGGTCTCAAACGAATCTGATCTTATGTCATTAAAACACTACCAAAGTATCTTGGTGGTTTTTGCCAGTTTCAAGCCAAGATATTACTGCAGGACTTCTATATTGTTGAACACAACATATATACTGTCTTGCGTTTGAAGATAAAAAAAAAGGGTGTTTTGAGGAACCGCCCCGACCAAGACATGGAATCTACCAAATATTCGGCACGATACATATGATAGTTGTCTCTTGTGACAGACAAGACTTGGTGATGAGTGGTAGGGGCCATTCTAAAATGTCTGTGCTTCCGCAGACCATGCCTAGTGTTACGGTCATCATGCATTTGTCCTTCGTTCAAAACCCTTCCTCTTCTTTGTTTTAACTCTTTCAAGCCTGCTTCTCTGTAGAATTCAGCCATAGCCACCAGGAAATGTTACCACTAGGCCACTAGCTAGTGCTTATTTACAATCCTCCAGCAAGGCTAGCTGCTGATCCAAGCGTTGATGACCATTTCTTTAGGTTCAAAAAGATTTTATACGATGAACGAAGGAGGGAGTTAGGGTGAAAAAGAAAGGGATAAGAAGAAATCATGCAAGGGTACCCTTGCATATTGCATCAGCATAGACTTTTGAAGTATAATGAATTGGTACTGGTCAGTGGTTCACTATGGAATATCCTTTTCGTCTCTCCCAGCTGCAGTCAACTTTAAGGAAATTACTGTTTTTAGCATCAGTAGTCAATTATTTGATGGAAGGAAATAGGGAAGTCTAGTCATTTCAAGTGTAGGCGCGCATTTTTTAGGTATTTCATGCCAAAAACGACTAACATAATCTAGATATATATATTTTTTTATTTCTATTTTTCATATAGAAAGTCCTATTAATTTTTTATTATTTAATCGAACGTATAATATATATATATATATATATATATATATATATATATATATATGAATTTTTTTAAAAAATAAACTATTAGAATTTTTTCATTTTAGGTAATTTTTTTGGATTTTTCTTTTTCGTAATACAACTATCTGATCCAAAATGTTGTTGCACATTAATAGCACGAGTTTAAATCTCAAAGTGATTTAGATTGGTAAATTCCTCTGTTATTATTTTATTTTATTACCTAGTTCAATTATATTTTTTTGATTCATGCTGTTAAGTTGAATGCAAATTATAATTAGTTTACGACACATGACGTAATTAAAAAATACAACGTATCTTAAACTAAATTGTGAAGCAATTTTTTCTTCTAAAATTACATATTATAAAAAAAATTATAAATTTTTTATTTATAATCTATAATTTTACCCAAAAACATAATTTTTTTCAATCAAAACTCAATTTTGGACACGTGATATCTTCTAATCGTGTCACGTGTCTTAAATTAACCATAGTTTGCATTCAGCATAACCTAATAGCATATTGAACTAAAAAAAAAATAGTTGATAGGCATAATAGACCAAAATAATAATATACAAACAATTTAACTCAAATGGACATAATAGTACATAGAGAAAGAGCCTTTAGTCAAGTGGATAAATAGCATCCTTAGCTGTATTTATATAAAAAAAAAAAATTGACATTCTTAGTGGAGTAGCGGGTCACCAGAAAGAAAGAGAAGAAGTGGAAGAGAGATCTAGTCCCGTGTGAATTTTTTTAAAACAAAATTATCCTATTTTTCACATGTTTTGCACATATGTAACATATTCATAAAGTTCAAAGCTATTTTTTAATATAATATTAAGTTATTTACATAACTCATTCAGTTAATTTGAACTGAAAAAAAAATCAACAAAATGATAAATTAAAAATTCACTCATTTTATAAGAAAAAAAAATAGATTTAATTAAGGATATAAAGATAAATAAAAAATTTGACTCATTATATAATAATAGACTAGGAATTACCCCTATCTTTTAACAAAAAAAAAACAATTTAATGAAAGGATGTACTTGAAAACGGATGTAAGAGTATATGGATTATATAGTTTATAAAACTACAACGATAAAATAATTAATTTAGTTAAACTAAAAGGGTTATAATTAACTCTTTTTATATTTGGGTCACCCTTTTTTTTTCTTTTTTTCTTTTTTTAATAGGATGGTGACCTTTGATAGATGGTGTTCTTTCCTCTCGATTTGTGATTAATATCAGTTCTTGTTGCTTATTAATACTCCAAATATATTTCCTAGCTAAGTTAACTGGCACTAAATAATAATAATAATACAAAAAATTAACTAGCATTCATCCAAAATTCTTCTATTGTTTTTCGTCATTTATATATCTATGTATATGCGGATTTATTTTGATCTGCATAAAAAAATGTTTAAAAAAAAAATCTTATCTATTACTAAAAAACTAAACCAAATGGAGGTGAGACTGTTCATGCTACAGTCCCCCTCTATTTTTCTGCCTTTTTTTATTTTCCTTTTCTTTTTCTTAACCACCCCCTCCCCTTTTTCCCCCTGTTTTTTTTTTTTCTTTTTTTTCTTAAAGACCTAAGTCTGCTAAACCGGTCCTTCACGGTCCCATTGCTCGTAGCATCTTTCACGATCCTATTACTCGTAGCTTTTTTAATTTTTTTTCCTCGACCGGCATCTCTTTTTTTCTTTTTTTTTTAACGGGTTGGATCTGTTGAGATTTAGTTCATCGTATAAATTATTAGAACCTTTCGGTGGCTGGCTCTGCCGCCCATATATATATATATATATATATATATAAGACTTTTGAAATAAAATTTTGGAACATGATTGTTTTATTTTTTAAGATATATTATTATAATTTATACGATTGATTATTTTTATAATTTTTATATGAAAATGGTGGTTTTGTTTATATAAATTCTAATGAGAGAGAAAGAGCTAAAAGTGTGTTTTAAATAATTTCATTTTATTTTTTTTAAAATAATAATCGGTTAAAAAAATTTGAATTGAATTTTTTTCAAAAAATTAATAATTATTTAAAAAAATTCATAGTTTTATTTGGTTATATATAAATATATAATCAGAATTTATTTAAATCAATTTTATAGTAGTTTTTATTTAAATCTGTTCACTTCGACATATTCCATATAATTTAAGTGGGTTATATACAAACACACACACACACACATCAACTAGGCACGACCATCGCTCTTTCTTTTCTTCCTATAATTTATTTTATATTTTTAAAAGTCCGGGCACCAATCTCATGATAGAACAAAAAAAAAAAAATTGGCTAATTATTTTAAATCTTGATGTGTTTTGGGATTGGATCACCAAGAGGCAAAAAGAAACTCTTAAAAGAATATACATATTGTCATAGCATAAGTGTTATACAAGTTAAGCGAGTCATATATAATTGGTCCCTTCATCGAAAAAGAAAACATATATATTATTGAAACTTTTGATGTCCTTGAATCAATATTAATTATATATTTGATATTGATGTTAACATACATATCCGATTATTTTATCCTTATTGTTTAAAATTTATTTCTTTAATTTTTTTTTTATTAAAATTCTCATTAAATTAAATTTTTTAATTTTTTGATATAATTTTATTTGTTAATAAATTTGATTTTTTAATATATGAATTTTGGAATAAAAATTTAGAATGTCAATGTTTTATTTTTTAAAAATTTATTATTATAATTTATATAATAAATTATTTTTATATTTTTAAATGAGTGTTATATATATATATACACCCACACACGAAGCTAAAAATATGTTTTAGATAATTTGACTCAATTTTTTAAAAAAATAACAATGAGTTCAAAAAATTCACAAGTTTATTTGCTTTTTTATATATATTTATTCGAATTTATCGAACTAATTTTGCTTGTAGTTTTTATTTTAATATATTGACTTTAATATATTTCTACAATTTAGGTGGTTTTTTTCTTTTAATTTTACTATATATATATATATATATATATAGTTAGTGTTGTTAAAAATTAACTATATATAGATTCGATTTATATTAATCATCAAAAATAAAACTTTTTACTCGTATTATAATATATGAATTGTTAACTCTATATATGTAACGGTTGCCTATCCACAGCGTAGCGTGGATATCCAACTAGTTACAACTAATATGACTTGGGTGAATTTAGTTGGAGACATTCAGAGTTAAAGGTGACATGACATAGAATTGAATTTCAAAACATTATTAATGAAGGATACAAATAAAGTGATAATCAAAGTATTTCGACTCATCAAATAGATTTTTAAAAATTTAATTTGTAAAGTTGATAAAAAATTAGATGTGATTTGATGTTAATCTAATTTTTTAAAGAAAAGTAAAAGATTTAATGCGAAAGCATCTTTCTTATGTTATTGGACCAAACTAAAACACAAAAAAGGCACTTTTCAAAATTCCACGTACCAAAACAACCAGTATATATGGACTTCATCGTCATCGCATGAAGTTTACAGAAAGTATTGGCATAGAAGGTGGTCCATCAGTATCTAAAAAGTGCCCTCTATCGACTAGTGTCTTGACCAAGTAAAGCAATCGAAAGTATGGTGAAAAAAAAAAAAAAAGCATATTTTTTATATCAAAAGAAAAAAAAATTTTATTAAATTATATTTTGGTTAACTGAATTTTTCAAAAAATTAACCGAAACCGAACTGAATTATTATTCGGTTTTCGGTTCGTTTTGAAATATACCAATTTCGAGTGTTTGATAATTTGATTTTCATTTATAATTATCTATACTTTTGATTTTTGAAAGAATCATGCACTTTCGAAAAAATAAATTTAATACTTACATTATTGCATTTCATAAATATGATTTATGAAACCAAAAATCCAAAAACAAAGGGCAATGGCTATCCGTGGCCAACCACTACCCAGTGGATGTGGGTTGTGGCCAGCTATCGCCACATTATCATTTTCGCATCTCAAAATCATTATAAAATAACCACATCAATACATATCATAAACATTACCATAAATATCCATCCACATTATCATTTTCACATCTTAAATTCATCCATTTGCATTCCAAAATTCAAGTAACACATATATACAAAATCATAAAACCCAATTTTCCTAACCTAGCCAATTTATGTCCTATCCTCCCTTAACCAATTTCTTTAAATTTTTAACACCCAATTCACATTTAAACTTTCTCAAATTCATCCTAATTTCATGACCTAGCCTAACCATATTTTATTTGGTTAATTATATGCTTAAATTCCATTTTAGGCCTTATTGGGCGCAAACTCCAACTTTACTAATATAAGCAAATTTTTAGGTTTCAATAAATTTTATCATTCTTATTCATCTCGGTATATTATTCTAAGTCAAAATTGAATAATTTAAGCATTAAGAACCGAATCAACTCAAACCCTAAAATTTCCCTAATTAGGCCGAATGCCTTCCCCATGCTAACCCCATTATTTTCTTCTCCATTCCTTCCCAA